GACAGTGTCCTTGTCAACTACAGAAGCAGAGTACCGAGCAACAACAATGGTAGCTCAAGAAAACACGTGGCTAATACAACTAATGAATGATCTACATCAACCAGTAGATTATGCAGTTATGTTGTATTGTGACAACCAATCGGTAATTCGGCTGGCGGAGAATCTTGTTTTTCATGCAAGAACTAAACATGTGGAAGTACATTACCACTTTGTTAGGGAAAAAAAGTTTTGCAAGAAGAGGTTGAGATGAGGCAAGTCAAGACAGATGAGCAAATTGCTGACTTGTTTACAAAAAGCTTGAGTGTTGGAAAGTTTGAACATTTTCGTCGTTAGCTTTGACGTCATTGCTTACATCAATTTAGTTTTGATGTCTTTGCTTAAATCAATTTAGTTAGGTGAAAAATTAGTTATTTTTCTCATTTTTAATTTCAATGGTTTAAATTATTTTGTGGTTATTTTAATGAGTGGTTTAGATTGTTTCTTGTAACCTATAAATACCCTACTTGTATTTGAGTTTTATCATCCAACAATAAAATCTTAATTATAAGCATTTGAAAGCTTTATTAAGAATTCTTCATCTTTTACAATTTTGTGAAATTATTTAAAGAGAGTTTTTTCTTCTCGATCAATTTGAGTTTCTACTGTATTTTGATTCAACATTGCTATCTTCCAGTAAGGTTCCAAATTGGGGTTATGTTTTCCTTTTATTAAAATAACACAGAGGGAAAGGTATTTAATAGGCTTGTTGGTGATAATCTTACCTGCACAATTGTATGAAGGGTATATCCTCCACCGAAAGGTTAAAACTATAAATGAAGTAGTTTTTCATGGGATCCTACTAAAATTTCATCGGCTAATAAACATAAAGAAAAGGAAGAAGAATAGTACCCAAGTCCATGATAACATCAGATATAGTATGCAGTTTCTTTCAAGTTTCCTCTTCACAAATGGTAAATTAATTAGAAACTCATCTAGGCCTTCTGTTTTTGTCTCTTTTGAGCACTAATTGAAGTTCTAATTATAAGCTGCCATGGCCACGAGTCTGAGTTGCTTGTACCAAAAATGATACTACAAAGTTGCGGAAGAAGGGCCTGATTTCACGCCTTTCTGGTTTATTTGTCTTTTCCTCGTTTCGGTAGGATTAATTTTGGCACTACCCTTCTAAGATTTTTTTTAAGAAAAAAATACGTAGATTTAAATTCACACGTGAATGGACATAGAAAATGCAAAAAAAAAATTAAATATAGTAATTTTAAATTTTAGAGGACGAGTGCCCATAATCGTCCCCTTCGATCTATCCGTGTTTATGCACATGTACAGATTATATTGTTTGAACTGTAATCACTAATGAAAAAAGAAAAATTCTCTTAACTAGTGGAACTAGTCCAAGAGTTCCCTTATATATTTTTTAAATAATCATTTTTTTCTATTATTGGTATTTTATCCATGGAAAATAGTAAAAACCTGCACATCGAAACTGAGCTAGCAATGGTCCAACACAAACGAAAAACATGACAAAATTATGTAAGAAGGGTTGGGGAGTTTAGACCCAAACTACATACACAACATCTTTACATGCACACGCGTCTTTGTATTTTGCTCCAAATAAAAGTAAGTATTTTATTCAAAATTACGTTCTAACTGAGAAAAATATATACTCATGCCCTAGAATTTTATTACTTAAGATATAATTTACATACACAAAAACGAGAGAAGATGATTAGATTTATACAAAATCAGACAAATACTCAATATACATCACGTGGTTGATAATATCTACGAGACCAAAACTTTCTGTTTTAGACTTCGCATGAACCAAACTCGGTCAGATAATAACAAAGCAACCCAAACATGGGTAGATTTGGTCGGGGGAATTCAACAAAATTAGGACAAATGTGTGGTTCTTATCTCAAGTATTTGCTTGTGGTCGACTGTTCTCTATGCATAATGTGATCAAAAGTTGCCAAAACAAATCAAGAATAAGAAAAACTATTATTAGAATAAATATCACAGTGTTTCCTAATTTCAATTAATACAATGTATTAAATTTAATTAAGAAAGACCAAATGTCTAATCAAGAGACTAACCACAAACAAAAACTGTCCATTAGTTACCTACAGATACATTTTAAATAAGAAGATAGATAATTATTGTTAATTAGATGTTAATGTGAAATTAAGTATGTTGGAGCCTTAAATAATTGGTAGTGGTTATTTAAACTGATTAATTAATTTAAATCCCGCCTCTTAGGAAACCATAGAGCCGCAGTCAGCTCGACCCTATTCCTGTGCCTCCCGGTTTTATTTGATGGCAAAAGTCGGCATTTTATCTAAAAGTTACTTCTCTTTTTTTTTGAAAAAGATATATATATATATATATATATATATATGATAAACTAGGAAACCATTAAACTATGGTCAAAAATTAATTTGACCACCGAAATTTCAGTTGAATCAATCAGATCACTCAACTATTTAAATACCTCAATCAAACAACATGTAGTTAATTTTTAACGGAGGTGGTTACGTGTTCATTAATAAAATTAGCATAATTATATATTTAATCCTTAATATTTACACATTTTATTAATTTAGTCATCATTTTAATTCAATTAAATAAATTTAATATCCAATTAGATAGTCAGATGTGTCGTTAAATGATTGGATAATTATTTTAATTTATTTATTCTAATTTATTTATCTTCCAATAAGGTGGTGACACATGTCACAACCAATTTAAAGAAAATAATTGAAGGAAATAGTAATTGTTGTTGGGAAGATTCGAACCAAGGCCAAAAAAGGATGATGAACAAAGGCACAAACCACTCAGCCAACAATATGACATATTTTTAGAATATTATTTTATATATCTTTGTCATTCTTAATGAAAGAAAAAAATGAAAGTCAAAATGAAAATAGAAGCTGACAGCTTTTTAATTTATATTAAAAAGAAAAATTAGGGGGTGGTTTAGGCGTGCGATAATTCTCTACTTGGCCTTGGATCGAAACCACACCGTAGCTTTGTATTTTCACCAACTGTTTTCCTTTAATAAAGGTGGTGACACATATCACCACCTTATTAGAAAAATTAGCTGATCCTTATTCCCATATGTAATAGGGTAAGGGGAGGTAAGATAGTAGGTTACCCCCAACACCAAGTTGAGAGCAGCTTTCGTAGGAGACCTCCGAATTTTGAAATATCCTCCGTGGGACTCGGTCCCACGACCCCAAGGTTAAGAACGTTGTGCTCTACCAACTGAGCTGGATGGTTATTTCTATCATAATAACACATGTAATCATTTAATTGTATGTTAAATTTATTTAATTAAATTAAAATAGTGACTAAATTGATAGAATATGTAAATATTAAGGACCAAATATAGAATTATACTAATTTTATTAACGGACACATTACCACCTACATTAAAAATTAACGGGCGGTGGTTTAATTGAAACATTAAAATAGTTGGGTGGTCCGATTGATTCAATTAAAACCTTGGTGGTCAAATTGATTTTTAACCATAGTTTAGTGGTATCCCGTGTAGTTTACTCATATATATATATTTGGTGTAGTTTACCCATATATATATATATATATTTGGTGGAGCTAAAGGTAATTACAAAGTAGTATCTGTTATAAGTACTTTCAACTATTTGACAATAAACGCTCAATTATCCTTGCGGTTGTTGGTGCTCGAACTCGTAACCTTGGAATTAACAACGATTATTTTAACCACTAAAATAATATATAAATTACCCGTACTTTATTTAATTTATAGATTAAAAGATAAATGTTTTATATATCAATATTTAAATCTCTAAATTTGTCTCAACTAATTAGACCAAATAGGCAAATAATAGTTAGTGCTTGTAAAGTTACATGAGTATTGCACCGCATGTAAATAAATTATGATACTAATTTTAAATTGGTTTCCAAATTTTTCAATGTTTTAATTTCATCCTTAAACTATATTTTTTCTTTTAAATTTTTCTTCAAACTTTTGAATGTTTCATTTTAATCCCCAAATTATGGTCCTCATTTAAATCAATCACTAAACTTTAAATATTTTAATTTCATCTTCAAATTATCAGTATATGTTAAGCATATTATATATTAATTAAATCATTATAGAAATGTTCTTACATGTAAATCACATGTGTGCTATATAACCATATAGTGTGACATAAACGATGATTAATGTTGCGTATAAATAAAATAATAATTTCTTTGAAATATAGAAAAAAAATTATAAACAAATTGAGAAAATAAAACCAAAGAACATTTTAATTTTATTTTAAATAATGATTTTGGGATATGATATAATATTATTGATTATGATATATCATATTATTGCAAAATATAGATCATTGTTAAAAATAAAATACATATCCCACCTTTAAAAACTTGGCAAACCTATTAAAATGGAACTTTTTTTTTATTTTTTTAGTGATGATATGATATTATCTTATGATGTCACGTCAATATCGTCTTTAGATTTTTAACGACCGTATACTAAAATAAAATCTAAACGTTAAATATAATTTAAAAATAATAAAATTTAAATACTAAAACAAAATAAAAATAGCAGTCTAAATAATAAAGTTTATCCTTATATATATATATATTAACCCCTACAAACAAACAAACAAACATGATAACATGTTAAAACAAAGAAAAAAAAGATTTCCTTTTCGGTCCCACTCTACTAAGTCATTACAGCGCGCCTGGTGCTGACCATTACGATCTCTGATTTTCTCTTACAAAAATCTTCTATATAAACATCTCTCAATCTCCTCCAAAAAGACCGAACCTTGTTCTCGTGTCATGCTTCAATTCTCGATCCAAAGCAACCAGCCACTGTTCCAAACCCACCAAACTTAGGGGGGGGGGAGACAAACCGAACAAGAAACAGAGGCACTGCAATGAGAGTCTGATACCCATGTCTGAAAACAGACCATTAGCAAGTCTCATAAGCACTTATTTCTCAAAGACATATTCGGACACTATTTTTTTTCGACGTAAAGATCATGAAGAGAATCAGAGGGTTCCAGCTCGGACGCAAGCTAGTGAAGGTTTGCAAATGGATAATACGACCTACAAGAAGAAGAAGAAACTTCAGGATTAGTTTCTTGGGACATACGACCCGAAGCCACAACCCTTTAACAAGAATCTGCTCTTTTGCGACGTTTATTCGACGGGGAATCAAGGGGCTGTGTGATTCGAACTCGGATCCGGGTTACATTCAATTGGGTGGAAAAGGAGCGAAGCGGGTTGGAGTGCCGAAAGGGCAGCTTGCTGTGTACGTCGGCGAATCAGAAGGTAACACGAAGAGGATGTTAGTGCCTGTCATTTATTTCAACCACCCGCTATTTGGTGAGCTGTTGAAGGAAGCGGAGCGGGTTTACGGGTTCAATCAATCGGGTGGGATCACGTTACCTTGCAGTATTTCTGAGTTTGAAAAGGTGAAAATGAAAATTGCCGACTGGGATCATTGCCAACGGAAACAACACCGTCGTTATTTTTTGGCGGATTAAAAAAATTTTAGCTATTTTTCTGTAAATATAGAAGGCTGCCGCCGTGCCGATGTTATGGTTTTTTTGGGTAAATTACATATTTAGTGCTTGAACTATAAATTTAATTCTGTTTATAGTACCTAAACTTTATTGTTTTCAAAATCATGCTTAACGTTTAATTTAGGCTTCAATTTAGTACTCTACCACTAAAATTGAACCTAAAATTTCATATAATATAACATGGGTTGAAGCCTCAGTTTTCTCATTGAACGTTCCTCGAATTCTTCTTCTTATTTATAAAACTATTTTATAAAATTAAATATTAAATTATTATTATTAAATTTATTAACCATCATGTCATTGATAGTTTTTTTTAAAGAGGGTACTTTGTATTAAGAAAGATAACAAAGTACACCACGACCAGGTCCTCATTAAAAAACCTCCCTATCCCTAAATGGAGGAAAAAGAGTATACCCTGGGGTGGTAAAGATCAAATACATAAAACAATAACAACACTCGAACCAACCGTCCGTCCAACCACTATCCCCTGTCCAACTCATGAATAAACCAGGAGCCAACCAAGAACATGAAATGATACATAAAACGAGATCAAACGAAACCATCACAACCAAGATAATAAATCAAACAGGATACTAGAGAAATGAAAAACAAAATCATATGAAGACAACTAAGCCAAAGAGCAAGGAGGACGAGTCTCTCAAAACGAAGTGGCAACCACTCTTTCAATCATAGAAGAAGATCCAGAAACTTGCAGAATTCTAAAGCATGCATCCCCCAAAAAGCCAACTATGACACTCCCAACGGGCAAGCAGTCCTGATGAACAAAACTTTTAGACGATAAGAACTATGGAGAAAGGAACCGCTACAGAAAACTCCTCGCATATCCAAAGAGAGCAGAATCGGAGAACAAAGATAGTCAAAATGAGAAATAAAGAGAAAGACAACACTGAACTATCGAAACCAGAAACAATACTGAAGATTGAATAAAATCAGCCCGAGATAATGGAATCCGGAGTACGCACAAAATCAATCACATGAGGGATCAGAGACGACCATAAAATCTTAGCCCAAAACCCAACCTGCAATAACACCAGATTAAAAATCCTATCGACTGTAAAAGAATCGCCATTGAACCTAGACTTATTCCTGCACAACCATATCTTCCAAATCAGTCTAAAAAACCTGAGATGCCAAAGCTTACTGACTTTCCTTCTAATATACTGAGACGACCATATCTCTAAAAGTTGTTTAACATTCGAGGGGGGCGGGAAAATAACATTCCATAAGGAACACCACCTTTGCCACACTTGCCATACAACAACGCAATGAACTAACACATGGCTAACATCTTCGTTATGCTCTTTATAAAATGAGCAAAGCGGCTGAACACTACCATTAATACCTCTCTTAATTAATTCAGTCGCTACCGACAACCTATTATATACCGCTTTCCAAACAAAAGCAGCCACTTTAGGAGGCATGAACTTATTTCAAACTACATGCCATATAGGATCTTGGGGTTTTCCAACCGAAGCCGACTGGATATAGAATTCTCGAGCAGAATACTTGCCATTGGAAGCCCCAGACCACAACAATCTATCAATCCCAGGACTGGCAGCAGCACCCATGTTTATAACTTGGTAAAATTGGCTCCACACCGGTAATTCCCAAGAGAACAATAAACGCCTTAACTCAATTCTCCATAGCCAAACTCCATTACCCCAACTCCCGAACTCACAAATTTTGCCGAGTTTTTTAATAGCCAACCCATATATTCGAGGGAAAGCTGCCTTCAAAGATCTAACCTCAGTCCAGTGGTCACTCCAGAATTCTATTCTTGAACCATTCCCTATTGCACACCAAACGTCTAAAAGGAAGTCATCCTCCATTGACAATATCGGAAACACGATGTCAATCCACAACCCTTTCGACCTTCTGACGTTAATACTTTTGGGGAGAATTGCGACAGGATCAGAATGATATTTAGCAACAATAATCCTTTTCCATAAACTATCTATCTCCTCACTGAAACGCCAGATCCATTTATTCAACAGTGCTCAATTCCTAACTTTGACATCAAACAATCCTAGACCACCATGGGATTTCGGACCACTCACCATATCCCATTTTATCCAATGAATACATCTGTCAGACTTAACGTTCCACATAAATCTGGCTATATATTTATTAATCTCCTCAGCTATAGCTTTAGGCATAGAAAATAATGACATGTAGTACACCGGTAGATTAACCAACACATACTTAATCAAGGTAATCCATCCCCCGAAAGAAAACAACTTACCTTTCCATCCTTGTAGGCGAGACTTGACCTTCTCTACAATAGGATTCCACATCAGCTTTAGGTTTTTTTTTGTAACCTAAGGGTAGCCTCAAATACATCGATGACAACCTGGACCAATCACACTACAACAAATTTGTCCACTCTTTGACTCTGCACTCATTCACATTAATGTCAAATAGTAATGTTTTCTGCATATTTAATTTGAGCCCAACAGCAACCTCAAAGATTCTAAGAACCCGGAACAAATTGAAATTTTTTTCTTCATTAGCTTCCGAAAACAGAATTAAATCAACGGTGAATTGAATGTGGGAAGTCGTTACTCTATTTGAACCGATATGCACCCCTTGACAAGCATCAAGAGCAACCGCTTTATTCAACAAACCACTAAGTGCCTCTCCCACAATATTAAAAAAAAAAGGCGACAGCGGACATCCTTGCCTAAGCCCCTTTTAATAGGAAAATATTTCGATGGACTCCCATTAACCAAAACAACAATCATAGGTGTCGAAATACAAAAGAAAATACATCTCCTCCATCTTTTTCCAAACCCCATTTTCTTTAAAATCAAGCTCAAAAAATCCCAATCGACTGTGTCGTATGCTTTTCTAAAATCTGCTTTAACCAAAACTACTTCTCTCTTGTTTTTTTTCAGATCGTCAACGATCTCATTCGCAATCAAGGAACAGTCTAAAATCTGTTTACCGGCCATAAAAGCAAAATGATTCTCACCGATTACATCGTTAATACAAGACGCCAACCTCTTAGCCAATACGCGCGCCACAATTTTATAAATACTACCCACCAATAAAATAGGTCTAAAATCTTCAGGAAAGACTGCTTGAGATTTCTTCGGAATTAGAGCAATGAAAGATTTGTTAAAAGATAAATCAGAAATCCTACCCCAATAAAAATCTACCACAAACTTCATGACATCGACTTTAATAACTTCCCAAAACTTCTTAAAAAAATCCAAGCTAAAACCATCCGACCCGGGGGCTCTTGAACCATCCAAAGAATTAATAGCGAGCCAAATCTCCTCTTTCGAGAAAAGATGTTCGATCCATCTTCTAGTAGCAGTTCCAATCCTTTTAAACGGGACATCAAACCTCTTAATCGGGATGGTATTCACCTCATTATAACAAGAGAAAAAGTGATTAACACAAACTTGTTGAATCCCTACTTGATTTTTGAAGACCGAATTATTCACCTTCAGTTTCGAGATCTGATTTTTGCGCCCTCTGAACGCAGTAGTAAGATGAAAGAATTTGGTATTCTTATATCCTTCTCTAAACCACTTTAGTCTCGACTTTTGCAACCATTCTCTTTCCATAAGTCTATGCTCCGACCACAACTTTGCCTTTATTGACATAAGTTCTGCTTGAGATATCTTATCACTAGGATTCACAATACAGAAAGCTTCTAATGAATCAATTTTTTTCTCCAAGGCAATAATCGACTCATCATTTGACTCTCTACGCACACCAACCCATTCCTTAATCGCGTTCTTAGCTAACATTAGAACGTGGTTCAAATCTTTCCCATGATTGGCGCCAAGAAACAATTTAATTTTATCAGCAATCATTGGTTCACCTACCCAATGGTTAAACCATTTGAAAGGCCTACTTACCATTTTTGGCAACCTATCACTCAACAGAATAGGACAGTGATCTGATATGCCTCTATTAAGAGTTGTTTGCACCAGATTAGGACTTAAACTCACAATATCAGCCGAGACAAGAAATCGATATAACCTACTAGCAGTTGTGCTCAGACCACCCCTGAACCAAGTGAAAACACTACCCAAACTTTGAACGTCAACCAGATCCCATTTCGAAATAAAATCTTCAAAGACCGACGTTGAGGACGCGATGTTGTGATCCCCTGTTCTCTCCAAATCCGACCTCACTATATTAAAATCCCCACCCACAATGACCGGAACCTTCAGATTCTCTATAATAGTATTTAACTGCTCAAAGAAACTCACTCTATCACCATATATATTCGGACCATAAACATTGATGATGCCTATTTCTTGATTATGTTGTACAAGAAACCTTTTAACATAATGACTCTCCTGAAAACATTATGTAACTTAACGTTAAAAACGTCATTATCCCATATAGAAATCAACCCCCCTGAAGCACCCTCTGCCGGAGCACAAACCAACTCCCTAGCAAACCGACCCTTTAACCTTCTCTCTACACCAACAGATAGGCTCCCCATTTTCGATTCCTGTAGCAACACCACCCTTCTTTATTTGAATCAATCGCCCAACAAATTGCTCTCACTTTTTCATTCCTTCCTAACCCTCTAATATTCTATGACAAGATAAAAAAATATAAAACCATAAAAAACTACCAATCACACACATAACACCCAAGAACAAATCCAAATCAATGTTTCCCGATTGGACAGAGTTCTTCAATCTCGCAATCACCCTCTTCGAAGGAGCGTCAAATTGCACACCCAATGAATTGGCCACTGCTAAGGTTGCCTCGGCTTCATATCACTCCCCATAGGCCGATCGAAATTGACCCCACTGGAAGCACCCACCCCATCGAAAGGTTTTTTTGCAATAGACTTCGCCCTACTAATCTTCGTATTTTTCTTCTTTTGCAGAGAGTTCTTTCTACAACAAGCCTTTCTGCCATTTTGCATAGAAGAGACATTATTCACCCCCTTTCCACTGCAGAATTAAAAACACCATCGAAATTGACTGGAAATTTATCTAAGTTAACCGTAGGAGCTTCTCCCCACACTCTATCCACTCGG